TACTCCAGCTGTGGCCTGACCAGCGTCGCATAGAGGGGGAGGATCACCTCCTTGGCTCTACTTGAGATGCACCTGTGGATGCACGACAAGGTCCGGTTAGCCCTGCCAACCATGACCTCGCATTGTCGGCCCATGTTCATCTTGGAGTCAATAATGACTCCAAGATCTCTTTCTGCCTCCGTGCTCTCAAGTAGGGAGTTCCCCATTGTGTAAGTGTGCTGCTGGTTCCTACTGCCCAAGTGCAGCACCCTGCACTTGTCCGTATTGAAACGCATCCTGTTCCTGTTAGCCCACCCCTGTAACCTATCCAGATCCTTCTGCAATCTCTCACTCCCTGCTAGCGTGCTCACCTCCCCCCAAATTTTGGTGTCATCAGCGAATTTAAACAGGTTACTTTCCACCCCATCATCTAGATCGCTGATGAAGAAATTGAACAGCGCAGGCCCCAGGACCAAAGAATGGGAAAGAATAGGGGGCATGAGAAACTCAGTCAGATACACACAAGCAGCAAAAATAGATAAGCTCCATTCCCTGGCCATGTCCAGAAAAGCCTGGGTGTTTGGTTCCCTGGGGACAAGTAGTAGTGGCACATCATGCACCACAGCTACTTGTCCACAGAAAATACCCATACAACACACACTTTTGCATGCCAAAATCAAGTCAGATCATTGGTTCAGTGTCCCCTTGGAGCAGAAAGCTGCCAGGTGCCATATCCAGGAATATCTGACCCCCTACCATTATTTATCCTATTTATTCGCTAATATATAGCAGGGAAGTTTAAGTTTCTGTTATTTCTGTAACATCTAGGTTCATGTCCTGCATCAGTTGTTCACACACTGTACCATCCAAGTTAGGAACTTACCTGTGTGTATATGTATGTGGGTTGTGTGTGTGTGTGTGTGTGTGTAATTGTGTGCATGATATATGAGATATATAGATCATGATATACAAATTAGTGATCTGTGTCTAACTTTTGGGGTGTATAGCATATGTGCTTGAATTGGTGATAGGTATGCATGTGCCTAGGCTGGTTTGGATGTGTATGTGCCTGAGTTGATTGTGTGTGTGTGCGTATTCATCCAATTGATTTGTGTGTTTATATATGTGCAATTGTGTCACACCCACCTGTCTAACAGCGCAATATTGAGATCCTGAGAGTTGGCCTGATCCCACAGGGCCATACCACTATACCACTGGCACAATTATTATGCACTGTGGTGGCAGCAGTTTCTGCCCCCCTCTGATCTTGGTGCCTCGGGCAGCTGTCCTGGTCACCCCACCTTAGTTATATTACTGTCTCTGTACTAAAATAAGATGTGGAAATTAAATGAGTCTTTCCCAATATTCTCCACTTGTTTCTTAATTTAAAGTTCTTTTTAATAGTGCTGCCATCCTCAATCCCAGAGGGGCATTCCCCCAGATACAAAGGTGGACTCCATCCTTCAAGAATCCTGTTTTCTAAATGCATACCAAAACCTTCTTTATAATCCTATACCCATCTTCATTTCACTTAACTAAAATTGTGGTTTATTGTCAAAGCTTAGCAAAATCCAGAGACTGAGCTTGCAATTGGTTGCTAGGGAGTATATTTGCCCTTGTAAACATTTAAAAACACCAAAAAAATGGTGTTTTACTTTAAATTCAGTATGTCTCCATGCTGAGCCTACACATGCCCAGAAGAGGCAGTGCCTTAGTTGAATCCGGCTCACCTCACATCTGTATATATCAGGCACTTTACTGGGGCTTTTTTGGCACTTTTATCTAATAGCTGACTGACTCAGCTTTAGAAAAAAGTGCCAAAAAGCCCCGCTGAAGTGCCCAATCTATACAGATGCTGCAGAACCAGGTCTAAATAGCATGCTGCTTCTTCTGGTAAAGCACTTTTCCAGGGAGGAGTGGGGGGTGGGGAGATTAAAGTCTGCAAGCAGCCATAATGTCTAGTTTCCATGTCGCTTCCTACAGTTCACCAATAGATGGCAGCTGGGAGTTTCTTCATGTCCTGCTATAGAGCACAGAAAACACAGGAAGGATCTGGAACGGAAAAAGTAACTATGATGGGTAGTCAGTAATGCTAACTGTCATGAAAACATCATGAGACTTGGGCTTTCTAAGTCAAAATAACTGACTCATGATCTCTCAATCAAACTCTTAAATCTCTGGATTTGTCCCAGCTGGTAATTTAGTGGCGGGGAAGGGGCAGGGTAAAAGGGAAAGGGTTGGGGGAAGGGGGAGACTGAGGCCCCCACAGTAAGGAAGTGATTGGGGCAGGAGCAGGGGCTCAGGTGAATGGGGCTCTGGGGTTGGGGTGGGTCATCCTAAGCCAAGGGGAGGGGCTCAGCCCCCCCACAGCTGTGCACACCCTCAGGGGAGGCATGGGGACCTCTGCCCTTCATGGGGCAGAGGCAAGGTGCCTACTGTGGGCTCAGGGCTTTGGGCCCTGATGCCTTTGCCTCGGGGGCTCAGCTCAGACACCATTGCTGCCTGGTGGCTAGGCAGGGGATGTGAGGCATGCTGGCCATGCAGCACATCCCCTACCCACCCAGTGGCAGGAAGCACACTGGTGTCATGCTGCTGAGCTCCCAAGGCAAAGACAGCAGGGCGCAGGGCCTCAAGCCTGCAGCAGGCAGTCTGCCTCTGTCTTGCAGGGGGTACATGCCCCTCCATGCCTCCCCCAGGGATGCGCACAGCTGCAGGGAGCCGCACCCCCACCACACCTCTGGACAACTCACCCCGGCCCCAGGGCCCCATTCCCCTCAGCCCCTGCTCCTAGCCCACTCCCTCCCTCACTGTGGGGGCCTCAATTTTCACCCCCACCCCTTCCTTTTCCTCCCACTCCTCCCCTTCCACTTACCAGCTGGGTACTGTCTGTGTGTCAATCTGAGTCTCTGTGTGTCTTCTCCTCACTCCCAAGCCACAGCACCCCCAGCCCTGATGTTGCCTCTTACTCCTGACCCACAGTACCCTGCATCCTGCCAGGGTGTGTGGGGACCCTCCCTCCCCAGGCCCCAAACCTCCTCCTCTCACCACACACCCACGGCCCCCCAGACCTTCACAAATACCTTCCCCCCCTCCACACTCACACTTTAAAAATATCATCTCATGATTTACATGCCAAACTCTTAATTTTTTGGCATGGGGGGTTGGCAATACTGTGTAGTTATAATGACTGACAATTTGCTTACTTCCTCACAGTATCTGTCTTTAATGCAAGATACACAGGGTGTGGATATGAACTACAAGGTTCTGTTATATAGCAATTTTTTATGGTAATTTTTATGGCTATTTTTATGATAAACTGTAGCCAGTTTATCTCACTTCGCTAGAAAAAAATGAAGTATTACAGAGGCAATCTCAGCTCCCCTTCTGTAATCTCTGGACTAATTTTTAAAAGGGCAGTCTCAGAATCACTGCTTCATCTTAAGAAACTTAAACTTGCCTTTAAATGTAACCCCCTCCCTCTCTTCTCCACCTCCACAGCTTCCCTCCATCCCTCTGTGTTGATAAGCTTACCAGGCTGGGAACCAGAGAGCTCTTTTTATTCCCTCCACTAAGACAGCTATTTTGTTCCCTATCAGAAGGCTGAATTCTTCATAACTGAAATAATTCAAGTTTAGAAATGACACACCAGTGCCAACAAGATTAAGACTTTGATTCTTTCTAGTATTTAAAAGCCTGAGGAAATAAATTAGTTAAGAAAATATAAGGCCCTCCTTTGTTTCATTTTCTTCCATACAAGTTTTTGAAAAAGAGCACAGAAAGAGAGAAGAGGTAGTTATGTTCTGTATCATCCTGTGTAAAGTTTGGCCGAGTGTATAACATTTGGTCCGCTGTCTTCCAGAAAAGATAGCAAATACACAGATGGAAAAAAAATAATATGTAGGAGTCTGATATTGCAGAGCCCTGATCACCCCCATAAAACCCAGTCCTTACTAGGCAAGCATGGAGAGAAGCAAAATAAAAACATGTCTAATTGCAATGGGTTCTCATTTGGATTTTTTATAAATGAACAAAAAAACCTAGTTCATCTGTTTCCATTTCTATTTCTAATCTTCACTTTTTTCTTTTTTTCCCTTTTTTTTTTTTGGTAAATAATGCTAGAAACCAAAGCAGGGAAATGGTGTTAAAGCGATGTTGTTGCCATGGTGGTACAGCAAATATTTGAGAGGCAAGAATTCTTGGGTTTTATTTCTTTTATTAGATCAACTGTGTGGTTGGAATAGATTTTGACAAGCTTTTGAATGCAATGAATTCTTTTTCAGCAGAGAAACCCTGTTCTCTCTGAAAACAGAACTTCCCATGTAGCTGGCACATCAAAGCAATTAGTCATCGACACAGTCCCTTTCTGCCATCTTGTGGCATTTCAGTGTTAGCATGGTTCCAGTTCAGAATAATGTGTTTAGAAGTTCAGAAGGACTTAACCTCATTATTTTTAGCTGTATCCATGTAGTGGGTATGGATTAATTCCATGTCATTTCCAAAAAAGTTTTCTGGTCTCAACTGTGAATTTACAAATATTCATATGAATTTACTGAGTGATAAATGCATGGAAAAACTCCTATTGATTTAAAAGAGGTCAGGATTTCATCCATCATATTCAGCTTGAATATTCTGTTATATTACAAATGAAAGTAAAATCAAAACAAATATTGTAAACAGAATTTGAAAGATTAATCTTTTTGCTGGAAAAAAGAACTGAAAACTGACACTTGGAAATATAAAATCCATAGTTTGTTCCTAAATAGAAGGCAAAATAGGGATTAACTGCCTTAGAGATTAATTGTACCACACATGAACTTTAGTTGTTCTTTATTTGAAATATGTGGTCCTTTTATTTTTAAAACAACTATCCATTATTTCAAGTCTACATAAAGATATAGCTTCCAATGTGGCCTCTTATATCCCTATCCAGCACATGTTATATATTAAATTAATTTTTATGTTACAAAATAAAGAACCATATAACAATGCATGACAGTCAGCTTTCCTGTGCTTGCTTTCAGACTGGAATCACCAACTCGATCTTTGAGCATGGATGCACCAAAAGGGATTAACATTAAAGCCCAAGCTGGGAATATTGAAGCACTTTCTCAGATGGATATCAAATTACAGAGTAGTGATGGAGTGGTGAGTGTGATAAATCCTATTTTTACTTTATGGTTTTAACTGATGCTATGTGATAGTGTCATCAACATCATTAAGCCTTTTTCAGTTCCAACAGTGTGATTGTTCAGATTTTAGTAAATAGGCTGACAGTTTCAGATTATGGTACCATAATAATGCATTTTTATAGAGCAGGGGACTACATAATAATATAAAATGTTATTACTGTTAAATGAGTGTAAGGAAAGACTAAATTTTCTTTGTAAATTTAGCCCCTTGGGCCTTGTTTAGTTCCACATTACAATATCTAATCTCCAAGTACCTTCTGACTACTGAAATCTTCAGCTCAGAGTTAAACTTTGAGGCCTACATCCTCAAAGGTATATAGGCTCCTTCTGACTCATTAGCTACCTGCCCCCACTAGCTGCATTCTATTAGTAGCCTCTGACGCTGCCTACTTTCAGCACAGAAGTCTCTGCCCATGGCATGTAGTGCCCTTGCTATACATGACATGTATTACACAATTAACAGCTTAGTTATGCAATAAATTTAGACCAGCCACCCGTGCAAAGTAATTATCACAGGATAAAAATGACTATCCAGCTATGAAAGGAGCCAACCAGCTATAAAGTTAATGCTTGAAAATGTATAACAGCTCTATAGCTGGTTTCTATCCAGCTATAATTTGAATGTGATTGTGTAGCAAGGCCCTAGATATAGGCCCACTGAGCATGCAAGCATAACATAAGACCATAAGAATTTCTGTTTCCTGGATCAGACCATAGGTCCACCTAGCTCCAGTATCCTGTCTCATGCAAGGCCAAAGAGTGGATGCTGACGGGTAGGTAAACAGATTACATGCAAAATTTTCCGCCCTCTGTTCCTCCTACTGATGCTTCATTTGTAAAACCACTTGCAAACTGATTTTGCCCCACAGCTGACTATAAAGGTGATGCCCTGTAGGTGCTAAAATGGGATTTTCAAAATTCTTGCCTATCTTGCCAACAGAGACTGATGATACTAGGCATACTTACAGATGCCATCTAAATCTAAAAGATGTGGATGGGCAAGTATGAGAGTGTAAAGAGACCCCCCCTCCCCCTTTTTCAGTAGCTCAGTGGAGAGAGTACTCATTTATGAGACATACCTTCAAGTCAGTGCTCTAACTCGGGCAGAGTAGAAATATAATACCAGCTCTTCAGCATCACAGGTGGGTACTCTAACTATTGGGATAATCTGTAATCTGGATGCTACATACACATATGTAACATCTGCACCCTTTCTTTTGTAAGGCCGCATCTGGCTTGTTTGTGCTTTAATTCAGCCTGCAGGTTGCCCTGGTGAAACAGGCAAGAGAACACCTAGTTTGAGAAGGCTATTTCAAGGCTTACTGGGATGGGGCTGAACTCAGCTTGTTAGGGAGGGTATTGATACTTGATAGCTTTGTAGGTGATTGGAAACAAAACCATGAGTACCTACAAAGTAAGGCAGTAGAGCTTTTCAGGATATCAGTGGACCTATATCCTTCCCCATTCAAAGTATACCTACTGGATACAGAGTTTCTCTATGACTGAAGAAGGGCATTTGTGCTTGAAAGCTTACAAAAAAACAAATTTCCAACTGTTTAGTTAGTCTAATAAAAGATATCACATCTATCCAAAGAGCCTTGTCTACCTACTGGATAAGGATTTATGCAAAACATAGTAGAGGAGGCAGCATCCCCCTTTCACCATTTGGCCTAGAGGTTAAAGTACTCAGTTGTCATCTGGGAGGCAAAGGTTCACTTCTCTCTTCTGAGAGAAATGGGAACCCACATAATCTGCTCTATAAGAGAATGTGCTGACTGCCAAGCTATAAAGGATTCTTAAGTAATGCTTTCTCAGTCTCTCCTGCTGACACTGTAGCACTCTGCTTGACATGACTGAGTATTCATTGAAACAGAGACAATAACTACATAGCCTAGAGGTGACAGCACTCTGCTAGTGGCAGGGTGAAGTTTCAAGTCTACATCTCCTACATCCCAGAAGAGTGTGCTAAGTTCAGCACTCTTGGATATATCCATAGCATTTCCAGCCAGCCACAAAGAGGGATGTCTTTTGTGGGAGTTGATCATGGTCTGAATATGCCTGTCAGAGCAGGCCTTGAGGCTTTGCTGGGAAGGGGAATGGCTTGTTGGAGAATCCCACCAAGCTTTACACAAGTAAGGACTCTAAGTAGCTTGCTGGCATCAGGATTTAGGTGGTTTTGTACATGTCTGTTAGTAGAAACATAGACCCTACAGGGTTAGGTGACACTTAAGACAGTTTTTGAGGATCTAAATGGCCTCTAGATGTTAGAAGCTCACAAGACAATTAAGAACCTCAGAGTATGTATATTCTGCTAATATACTGAACCAGACAGTGTTGTGCTGAAATGTATCACAATGCTCTGCCTGCTCCCTCCTGAGCTGGAAGGGGTGCAGCTGTGTATGAATAGTGCTACAGATGGGAGAAGCAGCAGGATTGATCAGTTCTCTTGCGCCATTGCACTACAGTCGCTACTCTACTTTTGGTTTGGGATAGCACATACAGAGCAGTGCAGTGTATTTGAGTCCCTTCATAGTTTCCAAAATATTCTCCCTTATGTTTGCTGTAATGTGTTACCATTACCACTGCTAACAACCCTGTTTGTCCTGCTTTCCCACATACAGCTTTTGCTTGATGCTGAAACAGTACGACTGCCCAAATTGCCTCAAGGGACAACAGGTGGACCTGGTAGGTCTCAAGGACTCTATGAGATCTGCGTTTGTCCAGATGGAAAGCTTTATATGTCAGTGGCTGGCATGAGTTCCACTTGCCATGAATATAGTCACGTCTGTCAATAAAACACCTAAATGTACCATGTGTTTTCAAGCTTTATATTGTTGGGTAACAAACTATTACTGATAGCAGAGTTTTCAGGATTTTAAAAACAAAGTCCACAATTTAGGAAACAAATACGCATGGAGAAGTCTAGACTGGAAGGGGGAAAAATATGCAGGAGCACAATTAAAATTTAAGTTCAGAAGAAATGTGCCAAATTAAATGTTCTGGCAGTGACTTCTGGAAGTTAGCCATACAAAACAGCATAAGAAAAATAATCTGAAAAGATTTGTTTGCAACACTGAACTGTTAGTCAGACAGTTATGTAATTAATTGTTAGTGTTTCCTAGTTGTATGTTTTCTCTTAACACATGTAAACTTTTGCTAGTAACACAAATTGCATTAGTGTGAGACATTCATCTTAAAACTACTTGAAATATTTGGTAAGACAAAAGCATTACTTGGTGAATTCAGATAGTGCCAGCAAATGGTCTATGCAATTTTTTTCTTGCAATAACATAAAACATGAGTAATGTGCTTTTCATGTGATTTTGTGAAAAAAATATGTTAATTTGCTATTATCTTTTTTTCCATTTTGGCTAAGTATGTACGTTTGCCTTTTCATATAAATATCAGAATAATTCATACACAGTCTCCAAGAGATGATGTCTAGTATTCTCTGTTTTCATAGCTGTTAACTTTACACAAGAAAATATGTTGTGTATTCCACTTAGACAATAGTTCTTTGTGCTGCATGTAACATGACAGTCACTTTAAACTTTTACATCTTTTAAGACATGGTTATTTAAGTGAAACAAGGAAATTTGTTTGCCCTTGGGAAGATGCCAGGACTATTAAAGATAAAAATATGACAATGTCTTCAGATTTCCCCAATACAGGGAGCTATTTTTGAGCCCACAATATTTAATTAAGATGAATATTGCATTTCCATCTGTAGCTATTTACTGATATTTTTTGTTTCTAGCAAAGAGGTACAAAAGTTGAGTACTTCTTTTAAATGATTTTGAGAAAAGGGTCACCTTTATTTTTAAATACTGATTTTAGATACACAGTTGAAGCTCTCCCTGGTTACCAAAGCATTTGTAAAATGCAGATGTCTGTACCAATAAACAAATGACACCTACTTTGCAGGATAAGGGATCATTAATGGCCTATTATTATGAACCTGGAAATTCTAAATTTAACCCCTTTGAAGCTTATTTGTCTATTTACTTATTATTTAAGAGTTCCTGTCACTGTAGTGCCTTGGTGCTTATATGTAACTAAATAATAAACAACTTACTGAAATATAAAAGTGCACCTAGTCTGGGGGATGTAAAAGACACTGTCTTATTGTTTAGAACTTGAGAAGCGGCACAAAACACAAAGCTGACAAAGCTAAAGCAGATAAAGACCTCATGTCATTTCCTCAAAATTATTACTTCGACTCTTTTAGATGATCAAAAGAAACACATTTGCCTGCTACAAAAAGCAAAGTTGCCTGCCTAGCTATTAACAGGAAGATCTCCCGGTTGGTTTTACCAATCTAATAGCAGGTAGAGCCTTGGATGCTCCTTGCTTCAAGGGTTGTTTCTGTATTTTTTCCAAGGTTTGATAAGACAAATTACTGAAACAGGCCTCTGAATATGGACTTAAGCTCAGGACTTCCTCCTCCTAAGTGACTACCTTGACCTTTGGTATAGACAGTCCAGCAGGCATTTCTTTCTAGCCCAGTTCATATTTCTTTTCTGTTTTTTTGTAAAGTGGAACAGTTTCAATGGGAGTGGTGAAGTCTGCTCTCCCCCTTCCTTCTATCCCGAAGGATAACCTGGTGGTTCAGCCATTCCTGTGGGACATGTGCACCTAGGCAGGAATGCTGCTCAGGCAGAGGAGGGAATTGAAGTCAGGTCTGCCATTCTCACATGTTCAGTGAGTGCTCTAGTCACTAAGCTATGGATAAAAATGGTGGATAGCACTGCCTCCTCTGTTTGGAAAATCTTGCTCTTCTTGTGGTCTCAGATACTTCAAGAAATTAAGAAAATCAGATCCCTGTGTTGCTGACTGAGACACTCCCAAGAGGGCAGGACTTCAAGCAAACTTGGCATCATGCCACTCCTGGGTGGGCTGCAGCTGCGCTCAGGGGACAAAAATGCAGCACTGCCCTACCTTTCCCACACCCCCTCCCCCCAGGGTCTGCGAGGGGGGGGGCGTGGGCTGGAGCTGGAAGGCAGCGCTGCACTGTTCATGGTGGTGGTCTGCTTTGCTCTACACTGTGCTGCGCTGCACTGCACTGTGCTGTGGTCAGGCCAGCTGGCAGCACTGGGAGCAGAGGCTACGGTGAATTTTTGGGTGCCTGCAGTCCCCTGCGTAGCTCCATTCTCAGCACTGCCTGGTGCAGCCCCAGCCCACAGAGGCAGCTCACCCAGCCAGCATGCAGATTTGGGGGCACATGCCTTCCATGCCCCGCTGGGCTGCATGGCCCCCCCTCCCCGCATCCCCCAGCTGAGCTGCTCACAGCTTGGTCCCCCACCCCAGCTGTGCAGGACCTGCCCCTGCTCCATTCCCCCTCCTTCCCTTCCTCCCTCCCCGCTGTTGGAGGGGGAGGGAGATTGAGGCCCCAACAGTGAGGGAGAAGTGGGGCTAGGGCTGGGGCCTTGATCTGCCCCTCTCCATGGCCCCTTCCCCTCCTCCCAACCTTTCCTCCACAGACTTACCTTCTGGGGAAGAGCACCCACCAATTTTTTTTTCTCCCTCTGCCTCAATCTGTCCATCTCCCACCTTTCCTTCCCACACTTACTGGGTATGGGGGGGGGGGGTTGGCACACGGTAGATCTTGGGTTGCTTTTAAATGCCAAAGGTGATCTACTTAAAAAGGTTGGTCAGGCATGACTTGCCCTTGGGGAATCCATGTTGTCTGTTCCTAATCCCCTTCTCCTCCTCCTCCAAGTGCTTTGAGGTGGATTCCTTGAGGACCTGCTCCATGATATTTCCAAGGACTGAGGTGAAGCTGACTGGTCTGTAGCTCCCTGGATCCTTCTTCCCTTTCTTAAACATGGACACTATGTTTGCCCCTTTCCAATCATCTGGGACCTCTCCTGATCATCATACACCATGCCTCATGCAATTCTAGGTCAGGACAACAAATGGATGCCTTTGTCTCACCAATCACTATAACCTTCTTCCTCCTCCTCTTTATGTAATAGTCATAGAGCCCCATTCCCAGGGTCACAAAATTCCAGCCTTCTAGTCTGTAAGTCTTTGACACCCCTTGGGATTCTTAGCAATGGTGCCCCATGCAGAAAGCCCTAAAGCTTCCGTTTCCTGTGTTACATAGGTTTCTAGGAAAGTAAGGCTGGAACATACCTCATGAGGTAATCTAGTCCAGTCCCCTACTTAAGGCTAGGAGGGATTTCATGAGGTATATAGTCCACATAAGATCGATCATAATTAAACCATTCCAGCCAAATATTTACCTAACCTGCTCTTGAAAATTTCCAGGGATGGAAATTCCACAACTTCTCTAGGTAGCCTGTTCCAGTGATTGACCACCCTCACAGTCAGAAAGCTCTTCCTAATTTCCAAACTAAATTTTCTGTGCTGCAGTTTGAGGCTATTGCTGTCCCCTACATCCACAGAGAAAACTCTATTGCTATCCACCTTACAATTGTCCTTCAGGTATTTGAAGACTGTTCCCAACCCCCCCCCCCCCCCCCCTTCTCTAAATAAAAAACCTAAAAAACCC